CTTCTTTCCAGCTGACTAACAGAAGCCATAGTTCAACTGGTATCTTGTCCCTCCCCACTCTGTTTTGCAGTAGCTGATGCTGGGAAATAATCTGAAATCAATCAATCAATCAATCAGAATACATGTAGCTACTACAAGAAGTTACAAAATCCTTTGGTTACCTTTTAAACATCTATGAAATAATAATATCTTGGCATCATGCTGGGATGTCTGAACTGCTACTAGAAGAGGCTGGCTAAAGCTCAGGAACTGGGGAGAGGTATAAAGAAGGAATTCTGCCAACAAGCACACGGTCAATTCAGATGAAAAGATTTCCTTTAGTATGTTTTCTACAGCTGAGCCAAAAGTAAGTGGCAAAGAGACATGATGACATGATATTAATCTAGTTGAGGGCTGATTTTTGAAGCAGCACAGTAACCATATAGAAATGGCCACAGACTTTCCAGGTTCTCAAGAGCAAGACATGAACAATAGTTGCAGCTATTTCCCATGCAGAATCTCTTTTTTAAAATAATTAAACTCAACAGTCTTAACTGAATACACTAATACACAGAAATGGATGGACTGCCCATACTTCTGTATTTTTAATCAGGAAAAACAACTTTGATAGTGGCTTAGTTTATTTAGCCAGGAAATACAACATCTTTGCTATGGTATATTTTAGGGCAAAAAAATACTACAACATTAAAAGTTTAGGCAAAGTTTGTTTTCATTCATCTTTATATTGTAGTTGTTCCAAGAAAAATGGGAAAACTTGCCAAACATTATGTGATTTTTCACTGACTTCACCGACTTTTGGGGTGTAATTATATTAAGTTTCTAAAAGACTTATGCTGTCTATTATGGTTTTTATTTTAAAAATATATTCCTTGATTCTTATCACATACTCTGCCAGTATCTACTAACCTATGGCTGCCCCCAAAAGAAAACAAAGAAAAAAAAATTACAGAATTTTGAAAAGCCAAGTATATAACGAATGTCAACAGAGTCACTTCCATCCATGTCTTGTGACACTCACAAAATGTTCTATAATATTAAGATAGCGTTTGTCTTCGTAAGAACTCATGCTGATGTTGCTTCAATAAAGCTGAAGGAACCTTTACATGTTCAATTTCACTCACAAATGTTTTCTGGCTAAAGGAGGGTCCTTGAGTTATGGAGAAGTAAAGCACATTGCTAGTGAAGGTTGAAGAAAGCAACTCCATCAAAGCGGCTTTGTACAATAATGTACCCTCCTTACTTCTGAGGCAGAAGGGGCAGCATTGGCTCATTGCACCTGCTCCAGTGCCAACTCTGCAAAGAGTTAGCTACAAAGGCACTGGGCTGTCCATACTAAGAGACCTCTTCAGTTCAGATATGGGAAGCTTAACTACAAACCCAACAACACTTGATTGGAGAATACTGTGCAATCAAAGAGGCTTTGGTGAAGAAAATTAAGAAGCCTGATCATCTCTCCCTAACCTCCTGGCTGGTATGCTATCTGATGTTCCATGTGGACTAACACAGAATATCACAAGACCAGATATTTAAACAAAAACAGGAAGAAGATGGATGGACGGACAGATGGACAGATTATTTAAATGTACTTTCTCATTAAAGATTTCATTTAGCAACAATTTGCAGATACGATTGTGATGAAAAAGTAACTTTGCAACCAGTCTTCGCATTTACAATTTTTTCATGTTTGTAAAGCTGAATTAAGATTCTAAGCTCAATTATGGTTTCACTTAGTGACTGCTGCATTTAATAATCAAGTTGCCATTTCCAATTGTGGTCACTAAATAAGGAGTAACAAACAGCAGTCTTTTTTCTTAAAAAAAAGTTGTTACCATGTTTAAAATACGTTAGTAGAAAAAGTACACTTAGTTCTTATATTAGAGTTATCATTTTGTCAAGGTGGCAGTGAGATTTTAAAATTTCTCCCCCAAACAAACATAGAGAAGTGTTAGACAAATATCATCTGTCTTTGTCTCTGAATCAGAATGGATGTATATAATAAAACAGAAATGGAAGACTAATCTCTCCCTTCATGCCCTAGGGCTCTTTTCTGAGTCAGTATAATAATTATCAATACATTTATTTTCCATGTAAACTCAATGAAGTTTTACCCTTTCATGTGATACTCTTTTGCAGGTGATAATATCCTGCATTGCAGCCTTATTTTTCTCCCAGTGATGTTTCCTCTTTGAGAAGGCCAAATTCTGCTGAGTTGAAAAGAAAGCTGAGCACTCCTCCCTCACCCTATAAGCTATAAAAACTGTCATTTGCCTGGCCTTTGCAAAGCTGCAGTATGAAGATAAGGTTGCAAGCTCCAGAGAGCAACATTATTCCAAAATCCTTCAAGGGCACTTTTTTTCTATGCAGAATCACAGTTTACAATGTACAATTTTGTTTTATCACTTATTTGTGAATCTGACATGAACATATGTACACATCTGAGAAATAAATACATCACAGTTAGCCTCTAGTTACCCTTTGAAATCAGTTATTATAGAAATGCATTTATGACACAAGGCAAACTGATCAGTTTAAATAAGGATCAACTTATTCAATCCACTTTATAAAGTGAAAAGACAATATTCACACCTTGAAAAAGTATATGGATTATTCTTCAAGCTAGGTCTTTTATCACATTTCTTCAACACACACGTACAAACATAAGTTTCATAATCTAAATATAAATTTAGTTTTTTTTTCATTTGCAGAAAAATGGAATAAAATGAATTGACATTCAGACCTTGATTGATCTATCTTAGAAAACACAACTGAGAATCATATGCATATAAATTAACATACTTAAGAAGTGCTTGAACTTGCAATTGACATTTTAAGATTATTATATTTCAGACATGTTTGCTCAATGTCATCGTATACTAATTCTCAACAATTTCAAACTTCAACCAGCATCTAAGTCTTGGAGAGTTTTTGAGGAAACTGATATATTTCTATGTCTGGTCTGGTCAAAGCATGCAATTGTGTAATACATTATGTCTGTATATATTATTAGAAAGTGTCATGTGTTAGATATTAACATGTTGGTTGGAGAAACTTTAATAGTAATTGCATTGTTTTGGAAAACTGGAAAACGGAAGTTGCTTCTTTTTTTAAAAAAAATGAGTCCACAGTACAGATAGTCCTCGACTTATGACCATAATTGAGCCCAAATTTTTTGTTGCTAAGTGAGATATTTGTTAAGTGAATTTTGCCCCATTTTACGATTTTTTCTTGCCATGACCATGGGGATGTTGCAGCAATCATTAAATATGAAAAATGGTCATAAGTCATGTTTTTCAGCTGTTGTAATTTTGAACGGTCACTAAACAGTTTTAAGTCAAGGACTAGCTGTATACATTTCTTACCACCAAGGAGCCCTAGAGGTTGACCTTGTTGAGATCATACAATGCAGATGTTGGGGCCAGGAGCCTGTAAAACGGTAGCCCATTCAGAAGAATATGGAGATTTAGAATTTTTAGAACAGAGCTGGAAGGGACCTTAGAGATCTTCTAGTCCAGCCCCCCACTCAAGCAGGAGAACCTATATCTTTTCAGACAAGTGACTGTCCAGCCTCTTCTTAAAAATCTCCAGTGATAGAACCCCCACAATTTCTGGGGGTAAGCTTTTCCACTGCTTAATTGTCCTCACTGTTAGAAACTTTCTCCTTTATTCCAGGTTGCTTCTCTCTTTGATCAGTTCCCAACCACTGTTTCTTATCCTGCCCTCTAGTGCTTTGGAGAATAATTTGACCCCCTCTTCTTTGTGGCAGCCCCTCATCTACTGGAATATTGCTATCATGTCACCCCTATTTCTTATTTTCTTTAGACTAGTCCTTGGGTAGGAAACCTTGGCTCTTTTATGACTCATGGACTTCAACTCCCAGAATTCCTGAGCCAGCCATACTGGCTCAGGAATTCTGGGATTTGAAGTCCACGAGTCATAAAAGAGCCAAGGTTGCTCACCCCTGCACTAGCCAAACCCAAGCCCTGCAGCCCTTTTTCCTATGTTTTAGTCTCCAGGCCTTTGATCATTTTAGTTGCTCTTCTCTGAGTTTTTTCCATGCTCTCAACATCTTTTTTGTAGTATTGTGACCAAAATTGGTTGCAGTATTCCAGGTGTGGTCTTACTTGGGTTTTATAAAGCGGTACTAATACTTTGCATGATCTTGATTCTCTGCCTATTTATACAACCCAGGATTGTGTTAGCTTTTTTGGCTGCCACTGCACCTTGCTGGCTCATAGTCAAGTGATGTCCTCTAGGACTCCAAGATCTCTCTGTTACTGTTTTTGAGCCAGGTCTCGCCTAATCTGTACTTGTACCTTTGATTTTTCCTGCCTAAATGTAAAACTTTGCTTTTCTCCACATTAAAACTCATTTTGTTGGATAGTTCAAGCATGTCACGATCTTTTTCGATCCTCAGCTTGTCTTCTGGGGTGTTAGCTATTCCTGCCACTTTGGTGTCATCTGCAAATTTGATGAGTTTCCCTTCTATTCCCTCATCTAAGTCATTAATGAAGCTCTTGAAGAGTCTGGGCCTAAGACGGAGCCTTGTGGTGTCCCACTGCTCAAACGTTATAACCCAGAATTCAACTATTTTTTTTCAAGATTTGTTTTGACTTATTGATTTGTTTATTATTCAAGCTCGTGGTTTCAGTACGAGAGACTAATCTTCCTTTGGCGGCCACAAACCAGTTCCACCAACCCTGCGCGCACTGGAAAAAAAAACTTTTGCCTTTTAGTCTCTTTTATATAATCCTTGTATACACCGCCTCTGCTTTCAACGGTTAAAGAACAAGCAGGCGAAATTCGGTTTTCTGCCACCTTTTCCCGTAAAAATTATCTGCAACGGATCCACTTGAATCGAGGTGAGCCAGAAAAGATATCTGCGCCTGCGCAATGGGCGACAGCCAGCACGTGATCCCGGCCGCGTGGCGCCTCTGAAAAAGTTCGTCTTCTATCATAGTTCTGTCAACTCGCGCTTCGCTAACGCCGTTGCTTACCTCGCGAGTTGCAGCTGCTTACGAGCCCCGAAGCCGTCCAGTCAGGCAGGAGGGCGGGTGGGCGGAGTCACACGCTTCTATGTAACTCGGCCATCGACCGCCGCCCGGCGTTTCCTGGGCGGTTTAAAAGCGGGCCAGCCATGTGTTCCCCGCTGCTCATCCCTGGCAGCTCCATTACCTTTCGCGTCTCCTTCGTAGAAGTCCACCCTAAGGTGCCGCTGGTGAGGCTCTGGGGGCTACCCGGCGAACGCAGAGAGGAATATCTACGGCTGATGAAGGACATCCAGATCAAAGTGGGACCCCGCTTGGCGAACGCTCCTGGGGACCGCGGGGGCCGAGGCGACGGCGACAACGATGGCCAAGCCCTGGCTCTGGGTGACCTGTGTCTGGTGGAGCTGGGCGGGCGGTGGCACCGTTGCCGTATCGTGAGCTGCCGGGCCAAGCCGGGGCAAAACTACCGCGTCTTTCTACTGGACGAGGGCCGCACGGTGAGCGCCAGTTCCTACTACTTGGCGCGGGGTCGCAGCGAACTCTTCCACTTACCGTCTGAAGTCATGGGGTGCATCATTGCAGACTTGCTACCTCCCGGCGAGATGGGGGCATCCTTCGCCACCACTGTTAGGGGCCCAAAGAGCTTCACCCCGCTAGGATCCCAGATGCTGAACTTACGATGGGCGGCTGAGGCGGTCGACTTTTTGGGTTTCCTACATGGCAAAGAGCTGTCTGGCGTCATTCGAAAACTGCTGATCTCGCAATGCCTGGTGGTGCTGGAAGTGCCCTGGCTGCTGACACAGATGCGTCATCTTGGGCTTGCCAGTCTTGTCTCTACTGCTTTTGGCACCCTACTGAGTGCCATCTTGGAAGTTCCTGAGATTGCTTCTGTCCCATTGGAGCCAACTTCCCCTTTGTCCCAGGCTCCAGTCCTTACTTCTGCCCAATCCAAGCAGGATCAAATCAAAATGGATTTCTTCTATCCTCAATTGGAGTTGAATGTGACTGTGGCTGTAGTGGTGACTCAAATCTCTGATCCATATAGGATATATTGCCAGCTGCGTAGTCTTTCTAAAGAAATCCAACTACTTTCAGATGCTATGTACCAAGCTTTTGAGTTATCAAAGGGGAAATTTGTAGAAGAGGCTTTACCCACCCCAGGTTTTCCCTGTGCAGCCCAGGGCATGGATGGAGGCTGGTATCGAGCTTTGTTATTAGAAATATACCCGGCAGATGATCAAGAGGATCAACCAGAGGCAGTGGCTCAAGTGATTTGTGTGGATTATGGCAGGAAAGAGTTTGTGACAAAGAGACATCTGCGCAACTTACCTGCTGAATATTTCCGCATGCCAGTAGTAACCTACCCTTGCTCACTGCAAGGTATTACCGATGGAGGTTGTGGCTGGACCCATTCACAAATTAATCAACTTAAAACATTGCTCTTGGGCAAGGTAGTTCAAGCTCACATCGAAGCTTACTGTCCCTTTGAGCATATCTATTACATTACCTTATATGGGGAAGATGGTCTCAACCTTAACTGCCTCTATGGGGTGCAGGCTCATTGCCTGGCTCAAAATCTCCTGCAGAGTAATCAAGAATCCACCTCTGGTTTAATTATTGAATCAGAAAGCTTGGGTGTCTTCGTCCAAAAGGAATCTGCTGCTTTGTCAGAGTCATTGCCTGCTATTGCTGCTACCCCGTTTTTTGTTGTGCGTCTGAAGGCAGGCGAGTACCATAATGTTCAGATGTCATTTCTTCAGGGCCCTTCAGAATTCTGGGTGCAGTTGCAGGAACTTAAACAGCCACTTTGTCACTTAAGGCGGAATTTAAGGGACTTTTATTCTCGGAGTAAGAAACTAGAGGGTATTCTACTTGAGCCCAAGGTAGGATCCCTCTGCTGTGTCATGTTGAAGGAAAACTCTTATCATCGTGCCCTTGTTACTAAAGTTCAAGGAAAAGGAATTGTGGTGTATTTGGTGGATTGGGGAAACACTGAAGTAGTTGACTTGTATAAGGTGAAGAAGTTGCTTCCCCAATTCAAAGAACTTCCTGCTGTGGCAGTCCGGTGTGCATTGGATAATCCTTTCCCAGGTCAGTCATGGAACCCAGAAGCTGTTGATTATTTTAGGAAATCTGTGCTAAACAAGGAATTGATGATCAAAGTTCTAGGCATGCAAGGAGATGTTTATATAGTTGAACTTTTTGATAATTCTCTAGTGGGAGAAAAAAATTTGGGTAAAATCATGTCCCAGAGAAAGTACACGAAGCATCATGAAGTACTAGAAACTCTCCAGAGAATATCAGATAAGCTATTAACAGGGGACCCTGAAAGTAAACCAATGAGGTTAAAACCTGTGAAGAAAAAAATACCAGCAACAGACGAAGTAGAACATCCACAACATAATTCTTCAACTTCTTCTACAGCTGAAATTTTGATAAATGAACACCATTCCAGTGAGGGAGCTTTTTATTCTTCATCAGCTCTGAGTGGCAATGATAATTCATCATGCGAGATGCAGAACTATTCTGAAATAAAGGCAGGTGAAAAACAGCTTGAATTTGGAAGCACGGTTGATGTGATTGTAACACACATAGAAAATCCTAGTCATTTTTGGTGTCGATTATTTAAGAATTCCCATGAACTGAATATACTTATGGCTAAAATTCAGGATTATTGTATACATTCAGCAGAGCTTCATGAATGCCCAAATTCTGTATGTTTGGCTAAGTGTTCTGAGGATAAAAAATGGTACAGAGCTGTTATCATTAATAAGGTTCGTTACACAGAAGAGATTGAAGTCGCTTATGTTGATTATGGAAATAAAGAGCATGTTTCACTGAAAAATATTCGTGCAACTACAGCAGAGTTTCTGAAGCTAAAAGCTCAAGCTTTTAGATGTAGCCTTTACAATTTAATTCAGCCAAAAAATACAAATCCTTTTGTTTGGGATAAAAAAGCCATCGAAACGTTTCTTGAATTTGTGGATTCAGGATCTAAAGTGACATTGAAGTGTACTATATTTGCTTTAGCAGCATTAAATGGTACAGAACTATTTAATATTGTTGACCTAATTACTCCTTTTGAAAGTGCTTGCAATTTTTTAATAAGAAAAGGTCTAGCCACATTTGTACAGAGAGAGAAACCCTTGGTATCATCTGTTCAACTTCTATCGTATTATTACTCAACCCACAATATCAAAAGAGGAAATGAAGAGATTGTTTATGTCACACATGTTAATAGTCCATGTTTCTTTTTCTGCCAACTTGCTAGGAATGCAGATGCTCTTGAAAAGTTAACTAGTAATATTAGTAAAGTAAGCAAAATGTACAATTTGCAAACTTCACCCACCTCTAGAAATTTGTATCTTGCAAAGTATACTGATGACTGCTGGTATAGGGCAGTAGTAACTTCAAAAAATGATACCAAAGAAGTTTTTTTTGTAGATTTTGGGAATACACAACTGTTGAAAAATGAAGAGCTGATTCCAGTACCAAACGATTCTTACGAGTTAATGCTTTTGCCTATGCAGGCTATAAAATGTTCTCTATCTGATATTGTTGATCCACCAAAAGATGCTATTGAGTGGTTTGAAAAGGCAGTGTTAGATAAACCCTTAAAAGCTTTGATTGTAGCAAAAGATCCTGATGGAACGTTGATAATTGAACTGTATGATGGTAAAATACAGATCAATGCAAGATTGAAGCAAAGCTTAGGTTTGCAGGCTAGCAAAGAGATTACCAAAAACAAAGAGATTACTGAAAACACAGCAAACAGCACTTTGTCTTCCAAATACTTACTTAATAGGGAAGAAAATAGTGAAAGGGGGCTAGCTTTGGTAGACTTTGTCAAGCCTGTTCTTGAGGGCAATACTAAATCTAGTGCTCTTTTTGAAGAAACCTGCCAATTGCAACAGAAAACTAAAAAAGAGGGAGGAAGAAAATTCCTAGGATTCACAGAAGGCTCTAGCAAAAGTAATTATGGGGCAGATTGGAAGGACATGAAATGTGCAGCCCTTCATGAGAAAGGGGAGAGAGGTGATATTAAAAATAAATCCAAATCTGTAACATATTCTTCACCTGAAAATATATATGAACTACCTCAAAAAAACATAAATCCTGGTCTTAAATCTTTAGTGTATGTTTCTCACATAAATAATCTTTCTGATTTTTATGTACAGTTAGTAGAAGATGAGCCTATCCTTGATAGTATTTCAGAGAAAATAAACAACTCTAAAACAGTTTCAAGCTTAGTGGGGCAACAGCTTAATGTAGGAGATTTAATATGTGCAATTTATTCAGAAGATGGCTTATGGTATCGAGCTGTAATTATTAAAGAATCCACTAATGAATCGGTAGAGGTACAATATATTGATTATGGCAATACTGCAGTAGTTAGCATTCATAAAACATGCAAACTTGTTGAAGACTGTTTATCTTTCCCTGTGATGAGCATCCATTGTAGCCTGGGTAGTATTAAGATGTCAGTGATTCCAGAATGGACACAAAAAGCAGTGCTATATTTCTCCCAAAAGACAAGTGAGGTTCAGATGAATAGTCAATTTGTTGAGAAAGTAAAGGGCAAATGGGAAATAATACTCAGTGATGAAAAAGGTGATACAATGGTTGATATGATGAATAGTTGCCTTGAATATAAAAAATATGACCTAATAGAGACATCTGACAAAGGATTTGACAAGACTGGCAAAGTAAGCTTATGTGAAGATATTCTTTCTGATAAGCACAGTAGACTTTCAGTTAGCAAATCATTTCTCTGGAAGATACCTAAAATAGGTGAAACTATAAAAGCCTTTTCATTCATTCCAAAGAATCCAGGATATTTCTGGTGTCAGTTCACTGAAAATGATATTAGTTCAATTGAAATAAAACTTCAGGAAGCTGGAGAACTTGCAAAAATCCACGTTAATGATCTTAAAAATGGCAGTCCTTGTCTAGCAAAGTCTAGTGAACATAATTTATTTCACCGAGCAATTGTTAGTCATATAGAAGGAAGTTCCTTGACAGTAATCGATATTGATTATGGAACTGAGAAACTTGTCAGTATAGAAGTGATCAGGCAAATTCCTGATGGACTGTTAATAATTCCGCCACAAGCATTTTTGTGTTGTCTCTTTGGTTTTAATTCTGAAAAAGGTTCATGGGCTGAAGGAATAAGTGAAATTTTCTATGATATGATAGCTGATCTTCCATTAGAGATTACAGTTATGGACAAACTGAACCATGGTTCTTTTGAAATTCCCTTGTTTGTAGTTAAATTGGAATGTCAAAAGAGAAGCATCAATGAACAAATGAAACACTTTTGGAAGCATCATGCTGAAAGTGGTGATTCCACTATAGCAAATAATTACAACACCGAAGAGCAGATTAGAAATCCAGAAGAAGAGAACTCAAAATCTGTGCCATTTGAAACTGAAACTTCTGTTTGTACAATAGCCCCCACAAATAATAATTTGGAAGATGTATTCTGTTGTCCAAATCTATTACAGTCAGTAGATAAGTGTTTTGATGTTGAAGATGGGATTTTATCAGAAACATCTGCACAGCCACCCAAAACTCAAATCAACTTTATCATGCATGAAATATTTTATACAGGAACCCAACAGACCACATTTGATGCATTTAATAATGAAACAAACTATTCTGCATCTGGAAACAGAAAAAACATAATAGATTCTACAGGTCTTTCTGAAATACAGCTTTCTACTTGTAAAATTGAATATGATGTACTTGAATCTCAGGGAGGAACAGAAGACAAAGAAATATTAATGCTAGATTCTCCTGAAATTCAGTTGCCTTTGGATGATACAAAGAGGTTGCTGGACTTTGTGCCCTTACAAGTCCTTTCCCAATTAAATAATGCAAAAAGCATGCCAGAAATTGAGAAGTTAAAAGTGCCTTTGTTGGAAGACGTGCTACAATCAGAGACAATAGAAATAAAAGCTTACTGTGATGAACCACAAAAAAAGACAGAATTGCATTTACTTGAACCACAACATGTGGAAGGACAGTCAGCACACAAAGTAGAAGAGAATACTTCACTAAAGAATGAAAATGAAAATTTAATATTAGAAGTGTTGGCACCTGAAGCATTTCCTTTACTGACTGAGAAAGCCAACAATAATACACTATATTTGCAATACCCTGCGTTGTCTGTTCCTGCAGATAATAAAATCCAGTCATCATTTTCAGAAATTAAAGTTAAGCCACAAGATTTCTGTTCTTCTGTTGAAGGCCTTGTTGAAGAGTGTAAACTGGGAAAAAGTGACAACAATCCCAATTTTACTGAAGGGCAAACTGCGCTAAGAAAGAACTATGGAGAAATGCAGATGAGCATTCATGGAAGTTTTAAAGACAATATGTGTGTGGAAAAAGATTATTTAACAAATATACAGCTAAGTGAAGTGAATGAAGCCTTAATACATGATACAGGTAAGGCGTTAATGTAGAACCTTGAGTGACAAAGTTGATTTGAGATTTTGCCCAGTCTTGTTCATCTGGAAAATTCAGATAGGTAAAGTAAGTGGAAAAAAACATTGAGACAGCACTGGACAAAAAATGATGGCAACTTAATTTCTTGGAAAGGGGTTTACAATTATTTTTCAAGATTGAGTATAGACTATATAACCTTCCCAATATAAAGCATATATTTCATTTGAGAATGCGTAGTTTCCAGATCCAGCTGGAAAATGATTTAACTAGATCCATTTCATCTGGGAGACATGTGACTGAATGAAATGGCTGGGAGTGTGGCCCTAATAATTCCCTTAAATGTTTCAGTACCATCAGTCATGGTATCTTTATGGGCTCCCTATTTTCCCGTCTCCTGTCTGAGTCCAAAAAGGAGAAAGGCTTGTCAGTGAGTTCCACCATGTGGCAGAGGTTCTAGAAGAGATCTTGTATGTTTTCACGATTACGTCTAGAGTGAAAACTAGACCCATTCCTAAACTAGTAAGACCTGGAAATGAGACCACAGAGTTAAATCAGACAATTGCAGCATATATGCTTGAAGTGATGGAAGTATAACTTTACTGTCCAGTATACAATATCGTATTGGGATTCTATATTTAAAAAACTGCAGTGATTGCTGCTTGTTTTTTCAAAAAATTAAAATTTTAAACAAATCCTAAATTTATGTTATGACGTAACCATTTCTATTTCGCTATAAGCCTATCCTGTCATTAAGAGAACTCCTTTTAAAAATACTTAATATATTCAGAGGTCTGTCAATCATGAAGGAAGAACTTATATTGGTCCCAAGTCCCACACTGCCCTTGTGGTTAGGTTCCCAGACATTCATTTTAGGACTGAACATATTTTATCAAGAGGCATTGATGATAATAATTAGGATTTTTTTAAAACAATATTGTTAAATTATATTGTAAGTTCTATTCTTTGCTGTATTATGTGACTTGGGCAGAAAGATAGTGCATAGATTTTGAAAATAATAAAAAATCAATACTGTAGCATAATAGTAACTAGATGGCTCTTGGAAAGCAGAGAGCTCTGTTTTTTAGATGCTATTATGGAAACGATGTATATATTTCTACATATTATCACTTATAAAAGTGGAATTCATAGTAAAATTGCTCCATTTGAAGAACTGAATTTTAGCCATTGATATTAGCTCCCAATTTGTTTCGGGGCTCAAATTCAAAATAGTGTAAATTTTCTTGAAATTTGATTCTGGAACCAAAATGGTTAATACTACAATTGAATTAAAAAGGTATTGTATTAAGTATCAGCCGTTTGATTTTTGTGGAATACTATATTTTAACTGAAAATTATAGGTATTTTTCAAACATAATGAAATGGCTAAAAGCATATGGCCTTGTTTTCTTACAGTGTCATCACAAATAATATACCAGATTAAATAAAATCAATTGGGACCCAAATTTCTGTTACTAAGCAAGGCAATTGTTAAATGAGTTGCACCTGATTTTATAATCTTTTTTTCCCCATAGTTGTTAAGCAAATCACTGCAGTTAAGTAAATCTCACAATTGTTAAGCAAATCCGGTTGCTCCCATTGATTTTCCTTGCTGGAAGCCAACTGGGAACTTGATGGGGATCACATGACACTGGGATGCTGCAATTGTCATAGATATATGCGAGTTGCCACGTGCCGGAATTTTCATCAAGTGACTGTGTGGATGCTACAACAGTTGTAACTCACTTTTTTCAGTGCCATTGTAACTTGGAACAGTTACTAAATGAATGGTTGTAAGTCAAGGACTACTTGTATTAGTTGAGATTGCCAATGTAAACTGCAGCTGCCAATCCCTTTGCCCCATCTATAATGTACAGAATGAATAATAATATAAATAAACAATGAATTATTTCTTGCAGAAAAAAAAGAAAACATTTGCAATTTAATGGGATTTGATATTGGTTCCCAATGTATGGTACGGTCAGGTGCTCAGTGGTACAAGGCTGAGATTTTAGACATATCTGCTGAAGGTACAAAGGTAAGGAGTTCTGAAAATATTAATTGTGCTAGTTCATGTTACTTTAATTGTGCTTCTATTAAATGAATAAATGTCTTCTAATTTTCTGTAGGTATTAATACCTAACTCTTATGTTATTTATAAATGAAGGTTTTGAATCTTTCAAATGGAAATGAAGAGATTGTCAATCCTATACATGTTTGGAATGGAATTCCTGAATTGGATTCAGATCTCACTCAGGTATATTTTTCAAAATAGTAAAAAAGCAATTGTGTTATGGACATTTGCTGATTATTTTTCTCTGATCTGTTGTGAGTAATTTTTCTTCCACTTAATGAATTAGTGAGGAATAGGTTTCATACCGGATTTAAAGTTAGTAGGTAATTCAGTACCACTTGAATAAGCAAAGTTAGTGGCAAGAAATATAAACAAAATTCACCAAAATTGGTAGAAAATAATGAATATTAACATTTTTTGCTAAAATTTAGAAAAAAATACCAATCATTGGCATTATTGGTATGGAATGCATTATTATCATTTGCTTAAGACAGAAATAAAACTGAAAACCCTCCTAGATTTTGAACAATAAATCTCAACAGCTCCAGTCAGCATAGCAAACTATTGTTGATATTTTGAAGATCATAGAGGTCTCTCCCTGGAGATAAAATTGATTTCCATCCTATGGTCAGTGTGCAACTAATACTCCTAGTGTATTGGCTGAGAGATATGCAAGTAACACTTAGCCCATTTGTTGCCCTTTATTTAAGAATTGTGATATATGTTTTATCAAATTCTCATCTTCTAAAGTAATACCAACTTTTTGGTCTAAACTCCATCTATCTAACAATTGTCTATACTGAAACCAAGAGTAAACAATATTATCTTGCCTTAATTCATCTAACCATTTTAACTGCCAATCCTTCCCTTCCAATTTAAGCAATTGGTTATAAGAAGTCCTATCCAACTTCACACCTCTCGATATCCCCTCTACTGCGTTGTCCAGGAATCCTCCAAATTGGCGTTTTATAATTTCATCTATAATAATATTTCTTCCAGACATGCAATAAAGCAATTCTTAAAATATGCGATTTAAAAGCCCTATCTAGTTTCTTGTTATAAATTAAATATGCATGCCATCCATATAATAAATCCCATCCCTCCAAAGAAAGTATATTTTGATTTGTTAAATTAATCCAATCGCTAATCAATAAAGCCGCAGCATCATAATACAGTTTCAAATTAGGCATCTTAAGTCCTCCTCTTTCTTGTACATGTTGTATAATCTTAAGCTTAACTCTTGGTTTTTCCCCTGCCCAAATAAATTTATTAATACCCTTCTGCCATTCATCTAAATTAACATCTTTCTTCAAAATACGTATCATCTGAAACAGCAGAAATTCTCCCTAACAAAGATAATTGTAATTAGAGATCAAAGTCGAGCTCATATAAAGAGAGTTTATAATGTATTAGTGGAATTGGATTCAGAGACGGAATTAGTCAAAGATTGTATGATAAAATGGGCCCAAAATTTTCAAGAGCCGATTTTACTAGATACATGGGAGGCAATCTGGGTTGGGAATGTGAAGTTTACTCAAGCTCAAAATTTACGAGAAAATTTTTATAAAATGTTTTATAGGTGGCGTTTGGATCCACAAAAATTGTCTTGCATGTATCCTAATTTACAGCCTAAGTGTTGGAGATGTGATTACTTAGATGCAACTTATTATCATATTTGGTGGACATGTAGAAATACAAAAGCTTTTTGGATTAATATTTGGTGGAACATTCAGAAGATTTTTAATAGAAAGATAAAGTTTACACCACAATTGTTTTTGTTAGGTTTTATTGAAGATTGTGATGTTAAAGAAACTATTTTAATGTTGAATCTTATTACGGCGGCAAGGCTATTGGTTGGGCAATATTGAAGGAAAGATTCTTTGCCTACCATAGAAGAATGGTCGTTTAAAGTTTCTAATTTAGCAGAAATGGCCAAAATTTCTGCCTGTTTGAAAGATCATTCACAAGAAAGATACATCTCGGTGTGGAGAAGATGGATAAATTTTGTACAGAATAAATATGGGATTAGAAAGTATCATTTAGTTTTTGATTAACATATAGTTTAAACTGGGAGTTGTTTGTATTTGAGTTAAAGTATTGTAGGGATTTGGTTATTGGTATAGTTGGATAAGCTTAGTTAGAATTTGTTTGCTTATTTTTTTAACCCTGTAATCAGCTCTGGGAAGTGAGGGGGGAGGGTTGGGGTGGGGGGGAGGGAGAGAGGGTTATTGTATTGTAATAATAAATTTGTATAAAACTTTTCAATTAAAAAAAAAGAATTGTGATATATGTATGACTAAGCCAAGGAAATTCTTAGACATGTCTTAATCAAACGTATTGTGTTTCTAACAGGAATTCTGGTAGGTTCTGATAGTTTCTTTCCACCAAAAAAGTGGTTTCATCAAGGCTTTTATGTTATCTCTTTAAGCAGTGCATGCACACACATTGTGACTGTGCTATGCAGGGAAATAAAACTTACTGTAAATCTCTCTCAACTGAATTCCTGATGAAACAAAGAATTAAACTGTTCCATTTTTTGTGGTGCATTCCAGTCCCGGTAAAGTAAAGGTAAAGGTTTCCCTGTGTAGCCATATCTGACTCTAATGGGCAGTGCTCATCTCTGCTTTTTACCAAGGGACCCAGCATTGTCTAAAAACACTTCCATGGTCATGTGGCCAGCATGACTATATGCCAACTATATGTCAAGGCACACGGAACATTGTATCTTCCCACCAAAGTGATACCTATTTATCTACTTGCATTTGCATGTTTTGACCATTAGGTTGGCAGGAGCTGGGGGCAGGAACGGGAGCTTACCCCGTCACATGGTATTTGAGTCTCAAACTGCGGGCCTTTCAGTTGACAGCCCAGTGTCTTAATCACTATGCCACCACGCCCTCCCAGTCCTGATACTCTTGAAATAAAATTAATGATTAAAGAAATATTTATTTTGTAATTATTCCCCCCATGCCATTTTCTAATAAGAAGTGCTAAGAAATATTTCAGTTCTGGAACAGAAGACTAATAAGATGAAATTTGGAGTGTTTTGGACATATTACATACAGAGAAAATAGCACAGTTTAAAAGCAATGAATCTTAAGTGTGCTACCCAACAATAAACATAGGGTACTCATTGAGTATTGTTTTCTTTTTGTAAGCTATTCTTCTAGAAATTATTTTTCTTTTTCCTCTTAGATAACATCCAAGAATAAAACAGATATCTTGCACTCTGTGCCAGCAACTATCTTGGCAATGGAAGGTAAGTTAAAAATTTAGATGAATGTGAACTTGTGCTATACATTTTATATATGTACTACTCTGCCTTTTTCCATGCGTACTACTTCATTCAATCTATAGCTCATTATTTTTCAAGTGTATTTTTTCCTACTCAGCCACAAGAAAATCATTTCTAATTTTCCAGAATTTATGAGAGCAGAAATAAGATGTTTATACTCTACATCATTTTTAAGTTGTAGCAGTTCTCAGCTGAGTAGAAATATTACCAGTTTCATAAAGAAGAATGTTTAGCCCCACATCCCTCTTTACAATATTGCAGATAGATCTGGTTTTCCTCCAAAAAACTGCCACAGCTATTCTGTATATTTGAAATTGCCTTTCCAAAGCGGCATACAATTTATTATTAAAATTCTTCCTTTTCAAAATATTTCTCCTTTTTCCTAGCAGTTGGCAGCCAGTGATGCATGCTGACAGGATGCATGCTGTTCTATAGCATTCCTTTTGCTATCCTAGAATAGATGGACCCCAAATTTCCAGGGAATTGGTGGTGGTTTAAGGGCTATAGCAGGTACCAACCCTTACTGTTTATGTCCTTTCATCCTAAATTAGACTGTTTCCCATTTGGGGGAGATTAATATATCTTCTCTTGAAGAAAAAAGAAAGATGTCCAATCTGTGGCTACAAGAAAATGCCTTTCCTACTCTAGCATGATCCCTAGGGCAATGTCTGCAGGATGCCCTTTCTAGCTATGAAACAGCTACTGCACAATCTTATAAAAGCTTCTTGGCAATCTCAAGAGGTTTTGTGCTGATTGCAAAATGACAAGCAGAAATCAGCTGTTTTCCTATAATTATGAGAAATTGGAAGCACAAATTGTGAAATTTGTCACAATGAGGAGAGGGAGAAACATCAAATCAACTATGACAACTCAACATTTGCATTTGAACCTTGTACTCAAATTTCAGTGCTTTTTCTGTTTTGTGATTGCCTGTTCCCAGTCATTTTGTGGTGCTTCCAAGGGCACTTTTTTAAATATCAAAGTTGAGAATACCTGAAATTATTTAATAGGTAATTGAACTTATGCAATTTAAACGTTGTGCATTGCTTGCATTAGTTTCCGTTTCTTCTCCTGCTTCCCCATGTTTGAATTTTCAATTCTCAGGACAGGGATCAGTATTACAGTATATAAAGGCCTATATGCATATTGATGGAATGTAGTTATGATTAATTTATGCTGTTGCAATGTAGATTGAAATGGTTATGAATGGCTAGATAGATTTCAAGAGACTGTTAATTAAGGATTTTTGACAGATTTTTAGATGTCAGTTCTCTCCATCCCAGCCAAAGGACTATGGAGATTACAGTTTTAAAACATCTGGGGGGTAAAGATTGTTTACTCTGACAAAGAAGAGATTTATTCATGGTAGTTATATGAATTCTCTAGGTTCACTGATAGTATCCTTAGTATCAGTTTGTGTAACAAAAGTAGTCTGCTCTTTTACCAGCAACTGAATCTCAAAGAAGCAAGGGTAAGAAAAGGCTGAGAACTAAAAGGGAACTCTCTATTACCAGTCCTGCTGTTCATAGTATCCTATATTAACTGAATATCCTCCAAATTATTTTTGATGACTTCTATGATTTCTTGAAAGTTTATTGGATTTCCTCCTAGGTGAATACGTTTTCCAACCAGTAATGGTAAATGAGTTTGCCAAAAATACTTGTGTGACTGATCTTGCATTATGAAATGTAGTTGCAAAGAAGTATATGGGTAGTCCCCAATTTGCGACCAGTTGCTTAGCAACTATTTAAAGTTACAACAGACCCCCCCCAAAAGTTACTTATGACTCATTTCTGAAGTTCTGATGCGTGGCCCCCCCCCCGGCCCATGATCATGTAACCACATTTTTGGCATTTGGCAATCAGCTGGCTTTTATGTCTCTTTGCAGTTCCCCTGTGGTGTTTAACAAACACTACAAAGAAGGTCATTTTGGGGTCAGTCACATGATGACCTACTTTACAACATCACTTATGACCATAATTGCTAGACTCAATTACAGTTGTAAATTGTGGAGTATTAAAGTTTGCAGTCTTTGCTGACTGGTTCTCTAGATGGATTCAGTGTACAACTCAGTTCCCTGAGTGGATTCCAGATACAACTTCTTGATATTTGAAGAACTAAACCATTCAGTATAGGTAGTCCTTGACTTAGGCCTAGTTGTTTAATGATTTGGGTGCTTAGCAATTGGTTCACATTTATGACTGCTTGGAATGTTGTGGAATCAAAAAAAAAAAGCCTGTTCAGGAGAATAGATTCAGACTTACTATTGTGTGATTTGCTTAATAATCGCTGTAAAACAATAGTAACATAGGGTCTAGTCACATGGATGCCTTGATTTACAACAATGAAATTCTGGCCCCAATTGTAATTGTAAGTCAAAGACGATCATGTATGTATTTTGGATGAAATAATATCACTCAATGAATGGAACTTATGACCAATCCTCAAGACTCTGGCTGTTGCAGTATGCCTGCAGTCATGTGATCAAAATTTGATTGCTTGGCACCCTGCCCACATTTATAAATAATGCAGCATATTCTCCTGTCCTATATGAATTGCCTGTGCTTTAGCTCCCCTCCACCTGTCTCGCCCATCTCTATCCTTTTGACTATCCTACACACCATTGCCTATTCCCCTCTGCTACCATCCCCCTCCCAGCTAACTTTTACTGTCTTTTTCCTCCCACTGCTGGCCCAGGATCCTGGTGCTAGCAAGGGTGGAGCCCTTGAATACACATGGCAGGGTGGCAGAGCCTTCTCTGTGGAGAGAGTTGAACAGGCCTGGTCAAGGAAGAGGCAGCAGGACGGAGGTGGTGGAAGAAGCAGGGTGGCATGGTTGGTGGAGCCCTGTCTTTCACTGCCAGCCCACTAACTGGAGAACGCAGCAAGACCAACTGACAAGATGTGGCACCCTCGTCTTGTCAGCCAACAGAGTGGTGGGAGCATCCTGGAGGAGTAGGACATGCTCTGCAGCTCACGTTGGAATCTGCACACTCCTTCCAAGGCTTTGTAGAAGGAAGGTTGGGCCAAGCAAGGTAGGTAGGCTCTGTCAGTGCTGGACTTGCCTCCACCCATTGGTGAAACCCATGTGTCGGTTCTCCAGGAGTGCTTTCAACATGAGCTGCAGTGTGTGCTTGCTTTGCTCAACAACCACAATCCCAGCTCTCCCAGTTGAGGTCATTAAATAGACCATAAAGGAGAGGGCCTAACACCCTCTCCTCACTCCACCAAGGGGAAAGATCACAAAACTGCTAGTGTTTGCACTACATTTAAGGTCTGTTTCTCTAACTTGCAGAAGGATTTTCTGTCACTAAATAGTGGGGAGGGGAGATCCCTCGGTGTGCTTGGGAAACAAACCTCAAATCCAACGTTTCCTACACTTGCAACCTGGGAAGCCAGCTAAAAATATGGCCATTGGCAATTACATGATTTGCTGGGCACTTAGCAGCTGGTTGTAAATGTGAACAGGTTGCCAAGTGCTTGAAATGCATTCATGTGATCCAGGGAGGCCTTGGCACAAAAATTTACTGTGGCTGGAAGTGCTTTATGAACTGTAAAGAACCCATTCCAGGGTCATCATGATTGCAAACGGTTGTTAAATGATTAGTTGTAAGTCATGGACTACTTATATACTTAATCTTCCATTAAGCAGAATTTAATTTCCTTTTTTTCTGAAAAAAAAAGCCATTTATTGGACCTAGTCACGTGAATTAAATCCTTTTAGAATTTTGAGCAAGAAGTGAGGAAAGAATATGGCTTCTGTATGTTTCATTAGTATGACCCGAAAAGTGAGGAAATTTAGCTAGAATTTTAATTTAACCTATAGGCAAACAGTTGTGGTTGTTTTAAATAAACTTATTTTAGTTTAAAACAAACTATTTTATTTCTTATAGTGGGAGAAATGACTCATGATTCAGATGACAGTACAAATGATTGAGTCGTGACAGCACTGAGAGTACAGCTGAGCGATGCGAAATCATTTTACATTCAAATTTTCTCTAACTGAAGCCAAGAGTTTTATCAGGCATGTCCTGTCCAAACCAGTAGAGCTCTTAGGAGGTTTTTTTTTTCCTCATATCCTTCAAGAATGTTTGTCATTGTTTTGTATGATGCTCCTTGTTAAGGGTCGGAACAAGGTTTTAGACTTGTACTATCTAAGAATATTTAAATTTTGGAACTAGTTTGTGGTGGGGGGGGGGAAACTTATATATTCTTCCATATATTGAGTTGGTGTGGCAATATGGAAAGGTTATGTGTGTTAATTTCCTTTTTGTTAATGAAAGAAATAAAACATACCTGAGCTATTCATTCTGTTGTTTCATACTCTTGCATTTGGAAAATTTGTGATCATAGTGATGTAGCTGACCATATACTGATTTTTTTTCATCATCATCCTGATCTATGTTTTTAGATATAATTTTATCTATGCTTTATACAATTTTAAATATAGTAGTAGAGAGCTATCATTTCAGGGAACCTTTAGAATTAAAGAAATATAACTTAAAGTTCCCTTTTAGCTCCCCAGTATAAGATAGCATAGAAAGTTTATTCCAAATGGTTAATCAACACAATAGGAGTGTTCCTGGGGAAGGCTGAGAAATAGATGTCTTTCAGTCATGGTAAAAGTCTCAGAATCTCAAACCCAGATATTACGTACCACCAAAGCGGTGTTAACAAGAGCTCAGAAAGATAGCTGATTGCGAGTACAGGTTGTATGAAAATAAAAACATATCTGGTTGCCAGTTTTAAACATATTTTTTCAATTGCACTTGTAGTCTACCTTTCTGTTACTGTTCAAGACATTGTTATAATAAAAATACATTAAGAAATCAGTAAAAGCATTCAAAGCCTTTCACTTGAATTGCACTCCAAAGGATAACTCTTTGTCTTCAAAACTATAGTTAGTTTATTTTTATTGAATTTGTTTTTCACATTTCTGAACCACCCATCTCCCTCAGAGAGATCAACTGATTTTCAAAACTCGCTTTTACTTAAATTCTAGCCTTTCAAAAAGGGGAAAATCAAATGTAGCAATTGCACTCACATGACATGTTGGGTATGCTTACTGTTAACCACAATGGGGAATTAACTTATCAACCTCTGACATGACCTTGGCTCTTTTTTTTGTCAAAGCCAGATCTTTTGTTTTGTTTTGGGGTCATTGTTATTTTGTTACTTTATGGGATGGAGGCGGGAATAAACCAGAAACCGCCTGATCAAAATAAGAGCCCATATATCTGAGATCAGAAAGGCTAATCCTATATTAAGCCCTTTTGTTTTCAAAATAACACCTGTAGTGGTGGTATAGGAAAAAACACGAAAGCTTTGGCAATACTGCTGCAAAAATACTTTGTTTTTGAAGATGGTCCTCTATCTGTCTCACTTTCCTGAGAGCCACTTAGCCAAATTCAAAGTTGCCAAATTATGTATCTGAGTAATCATTGAAATGAGTCACTGTACCATACTCCAGCTGGTATTCTATATCCCTGTGCTATGCTAGATGGATGCCAGGTGGTATTTTGGATTCCCAGTGACAAACAGATCTTAAATGTAAGCAGAAATAAACCTCATGTCATTATTTGATTTTAATTTGCTTCCAACAAAAATGATGGTGAATATTTCTGGATCCAACATTGCAGAATGAAAAACTGAATTATGTATATATGAACCACATAGCAGAGATACTGGCAATATGGAGTGGCTGAGGGAGTGGATAATTATATATTCAGAAATCAAAGTGCATTTTCCACTGTTTATGGCACAGCAAGGATTCAGGTATTGGAAAATCTAATTTATGGCCATACATTTCTTCTGGTTGCTGAATTAATGCAAAAGAACTCAAGGGCCCATCATGATGCAGTGGTAAATGGCCATATTTGTCACCTATAGCAGGCATGGTATCTCCCTGTTACTTTGGTTAAGCTATGGTAATAGCTTAATTTACCCTATACAATGCCAATGAACACGACTTGTAGAAGTAACAGTAAATCATGTTGTAAGCTGCTATGAAACATATGATATCAAGATGAGTGGCATATAAATTAAATAAACAGTAAATTTCAATCCAAAAGGAGGACTGGAGGTCCTAATGTAGGGAAGGCAAAAACCGTAGCCTACTGGGATCAAATATAATATGCAAATAAACTACTTTCCTAGTCCCGTCATTTAGTGCACTAAATGTATCCATACCAAATGACAACTTACGTTTCAGATGAGTAAATGTATATAATGACTATTATACTCATGCAGAAGCATCTTCTACTTTGAAATATAGGGGTAAACCGAGAGGTTTCTCTGGTTTCTTCTGACGTCCCACTCTCAGATTAACTCCTGGGAGCTACAGTAGCAGCCCTTCTAGAAATCCACACATTTTATTTGCAAGAATAGTAACACTGTCAGACTGTCAGCTTTTAAAAATCCATGTAATGGTAGGGATATCATGTCTGGAGCACCTCTATCAATAAAAAAATTTTTAATAACTGATGTTCACTTGTTCTTTCTTTAACATTAGAAACCAGCTCAGTACAGGCAGTCCTTGCTTAGTGACATTAATTGGGACTGGAATTTACATCACTAAGCAATGTTGTCATAAAGTGCAACATTGTGTGATCATGCTGCTTAGCAGTGGCATCCTGGCTGTCTCCAATTACTGTCATTAAGCAAGGATTTCACATATTTGGAACTTCAGACTTCTGGTTTCTCCCTTGACTTTGCTTGTGGTAAGCCGGCAGGACAGGGCACAAATTATGATCACACAGTTGTGGGAGGCTGTGGTGGATGGAAATCTGTGCCAGTTATCAAGTGCCCAGGTCACAGTTGTGCCTGTGATGGTGCTGTGATATCTGAAACTTCAGTTGTAACTCTTGTTCAGCAGCATTTAAATGGTCACTGAGTGAAATGAGAACCACCTTTAACATCTTCAAATGTTCTAAAACATAGTATTTCCAATGGAGCTATCATGAAACAAGCAACATTTAGTCAGAAATATTTAAGGACAATTAATCTTTATTTACACTGAGATGCTCCTGAAGTTAAGTCAACATTGGTATCTGGAATGACATTAGGTCCTTCACCATTTAAAAGAGGGTCCCATTGGTTAAAACCCTTAGAGAGACCTAGAGAAGATAAATTCAGATCAGATGGCACATACAAATACATGAAAATATTAAGTTATATTAACAGAAATTATGTTTCTGAGTCACAATATATTAAAATTAAGCTTGCTTTGATGTTCTAAAACTGACATGCTGGAAACAGGAAAGTCATAGTGATAAATATGGATTGCTGACTTCATCTAAATAGCATAGTCTAAGTCTCTAATTTATAAGGTCTGGAAAGACCCCTTTTTAAACTGAGTTGTAAGGTCAATATACTTTAAAATAAGTTTACTTGAAAAGTATATTCCACTTTTCAGTAAAACCTCCAGAGGATGTAGAAACATATACAATATAAAAATACATATTAAAAAAATTAGGAGAATCAACTAAATTCCTGGCACTAAAAAATTAATCACTGGCAATGTTCATGTCTTCAAGGAAGAAATTCCACAGGTAAGGTTCTGTTGACAAGGTCATCTGTAATAAAGGGATTTCTTGGAGGAAAGTCTCTAAATATATTTCTGTACATAACATGGATATAAATACATGTTCATTCAGGTATCAGGTTCCTAAGCCAACTGGTAGACCATCTACTTGCTTTCTCATATGTCTCAGTAGTTTATATTGAGTTTACTCTCTAGTCAGTAAATACTGATATGTAACCTAAGTCTTTTTATATATTAAAAATGCTCATGATAAACAAGTGTAACTGGTTCTTTAGTTCAGCTTTAAAAGAAACACTATTTTTATTCCGTGTAGTATTTAAAATCTCAGATGTTTGGGAAATGAATCTGAATGGCGAACCTATGACACATGTCAAAGGTTACACACCACAACATTTGAATGACACACCACCATTCAAAGACACCCAACAGCAACTATTCTCGAAATCACATCCCATTATCATGTGATTTTCAAAGGTTGTTGAGACTGCAAGAATTGGGGTATGAGCAGCCTTCAGATTCTCTGAAAATGGCATGTGAGAGATAGGCTCTTGCATGGCCTCTGGAGTCTCTGAAAATCAAATGAGGTGCTTTTGCAATTTTCAAAGGCTGCAGAAGAGCATTCTTTGAAGCCACTTAAAGGCCTTGTGTGAGTGAAGCTGCCTCGGGTAGGCTGCAAGGGCCTATCAACAGAACAGCCTAAAGGTAAGTGGCACACAGCAAGTCCTAGGGATCACGCGCACAATCGGACTGCATTCTTTAAAATGAATAAATAGGTAAAGAATTGTTTTTCTTTTGTTTGGGGGTGTTGTGTGGGTGACACATCCACAGTCAAATTAGGCATTTTTTGTTTTGTTTTTTACATGCCAAGCCCAAAAGATTTGCCATCTCTGTATAAACAGTCTACCTTCCCTTATGCTCTCAGAGCAGAGATACAGATGCTGCATTACATGACTTCCATGCCCCATACTCCTCTTCTTGAAGTATGGTATTTTCAGTTACACTGACCACCAGGAGGCCCATGTAACCAGTTGGAAGTCATGCAAAACCACATACATGAGAGTTTGACAATTTAGCATCTGCAGTTCTCTGCTCTGAGAGCTTAAGGGAAGGGGACAGTATTTACTATTCTGACAATCTCTAAATATCACTTGTTGCAACTACTGAGTATCAGGATCTGCATAGCTCCTAAAGTTAGTGCACTGTATATAGTAGTCATCTAAAGTGCAAGGATCTATAAGCTCAATTTCCAAGAGAGGGTTCCAACCCCATAGAACAACATCTGGCTACCTGTTTCTCGGGAGTTCCAATAAGCATGCAACTAATCATCTGATGTTTTCAGGTGGTCAATGTAATTGGAGGATACATCACACTTTTAGGATCCTTTGAGTCAGTTATTGATTCCTGGTGACTGGGCAAGTCCTTGCGGTTTTCTCGCCAAGATTTCAGAAATGGTTTGCCATTGGCCGCTTCTCAGGACTGAGAGGTGACTGTCTCAAGATCACCCAGTGGCTTTGTGCTTAAAAAGTAGGACTCAGTCTCCTGACTTTTAGCCTTAACCACTACATCAAACTATATGTCTGTTTATCTCTCTCTTTCTCTCCAACATGTAACATGTTCAATTCGATGTGCACATATGCATTATATTTTCAGGTAGCTTTAGTGATCAAACACTAAAGTTGCATCAAATATTGTGAAAGATATTGTCTGTAACACATCACCTTATCAACATGTAGTAATACGGGGTGTTAAGAATTAAATATAAAAGCAATGCAGCAACTTACTCAAATGTTTCTGTAAGAAGGCCAGTGAAGCTTTGTTGCTAATATCAATCGCTGTTTGGGGATCTATATCTCCTCTCAGTTTAAAAATCTTCCCAATTATTTTTCCAGTAAGGAATGTAAAGTCGGGAAAACTCTGATGTACTGATCCTCTGAAAACAACGAAAATGCAAAGGATAAGCCTAATAAGTAATCAAACAAGTCTGACTACAAGAGGGAATCTTTGCAAACATTGCTGAAACACGTGGAACCTAATTAAATGTTTTTGGTTCTGAAGATTTTTGTTTTCTTGTTTACATTTTATCTCTACATGTTTGTCCCAAGGATTTTGGTGGTTGTGGTAATGTTCTGTGTCTTTTATTCATTTTTTCCCCAGCGGTAATAATAAGTTAGAATTGTTTATTATCATTATAATAAAAGTACATGCAATAACCTTTCATTTGGAGATCAAAGGAACACAACTACAATTACT